AAGGAGAGGGAAGTTGGTAAGAGAACAGCCACAAAAATAAAATCATGCCCTAGTTAAATAGACAATAATATAATTCAATAAGCGCAAACATATCATCTAAAATTTATTTCAGTTCAATTTATTTATTCCCTCTTCAGCTCAATATGATGCAAGTTGGATATAGAGCATAATTAATGGAAAAGAGGGACACAAATCTCTTTTGTTTATTGTACATTAAGGAATCTTTTATGGCCTCAATCAAAATCCTCACCCAAGTTAGCCACATTAGCTAGTTTACTTAAATACAATTATACACAATTAAAAATTCACCAACTTATGAACACTTGTCAAATTGAAACCTAGGTTGAAAAGATAATAATGAAACATAAATATCACCCACGTAAGTTCAATAATAACAATATTCAAATTACGAACATTAAATGAAAAAACACTTCATACATTCATGATAATAAGTTAGGGGGAGAAGTCTACACATACAATCAGTGACCTTCATCGAACCAGGAGAGTCCACTCCCAACCAAACATAAAATGTGGCATAAAGAACTGCTATACCAATCACAGCCATACCAACAACAATGATAGCAGATAAACCACCTGCACGGGTAGCTACCTGCACAAATTCCTTCCGATTAATATAGCAAATATTGAACTGTTCATAGTTTCCACAAAAGCTGATAGGAGTTAATAATGGTTTAACCTGCAATGCCTCTCTTGCAGACCGCCTTGCTGCACTAGAGACTCTAACATTGGCACGAACTGATACCCACATCCCTACATATCCAGCAATACCTGAACAAAGAGAACCTAAAAGGAAAGCAGCTACAGTGATGTATGCAGAAGTTGACCTGAAAGAGGATACATATGACAGATAAGAACCAGTAAAAGGTACCGAAAAAATATTCATGGCATATATAATTTATGATGTCACCTTCCCAGGCCAGAAGATTCCTGTTGAGGAGTAGTGCTGCGGAACAAATATATGCAAAGAATGACAATAGCAAGGAACATTGCCATCTTGGATATACTCCCATACTGAGTCCTAAAAAATCCTTCAGCTCCATCTCGTATAGCATCTGATATCTAGAATGCAATATGATAAGCTCAGGACAAGAAAACAAGGGAGTTCACGGTAATGAGATCCATTTATCAAGGAGTTATCTCAAAAGATTATAAATCTGCAATAACTTTAACACTCAAATTTGTTCTCATGTTAAACCAGGGATGGATCCAAGGGGGGGGCAAGGGTGTGTCCCCTGCCCTCCCAAAATAATTTTTAATATATATATATAAGACTAGTACAATTAATGAATCATATTTATGTATATCATAGTTGAATTAAACCAAATGACTCCACAAACCAGGGTCTGTGCATGAAAGCACATTAAAAAGTTCCAAATGCTTGCTAAAATCATATTCCTAGTAATTTTCACACTTCAGGATATACAAACAAGAAAATTTCACCCGGTTAATTAATCAAGTCTATGGGCCTATTTGTTTCTTGGTTTGTAAATCCCCCCCCCCTCCCACACCACCACCAAAAAACAAGTGGCCACAATTAATTTATTAATGGTTTCTCCTAAATATCAACAGTGGCTACACCCATGGCCATTATAACCAGACTATCTTCCATTTGATCTAGTTTACTCACTATAGCCTCTATTGGAATTCTTTTCTCATGACCAATCTACCTTAGGCAATTTTTCATCATTACTACTCTATAGGTGCTGCTTTAGTTCATGCCCACTAATCCAGATCAATCAAACGTGCAAAAGCTAAAGGGTAATTCCAAAACTGCAATTACCAATAACCAAAGAGAAGTGCTATTTCACACCAAAAATGTTTTCATGAGAGGCTGTGAATGACGTGGCAATTTTATTTTAGCTCATCCTCTTTCACCCGCAAAGAGAAATAGTTACCCCATGTCGTTCATAACACATTTCTGCTCTTTGTGATATTAAGCATTTCCTAAACCAAATTACTGAAACTAAGATCAAAATTCAATAAATTGGAAGAAGTTCCCCACCATGGTGGGTTAAATTCAGAATGTTTAGAGAACCTGCACAACAGTTTACAGATTGCAGCAATTGGAGGAAATAGATTTACCTGAACCATTTCAGGAGGGCCCTCATCTTTTGCAAGCACCCACTTTGTGAGATATATCGACACAAGGAAGCTGAGAATACAAACAGAGATGACAAACACAATGATGGGAGATGTACTTGCTCCCATGTAAAAGATAGCTCCAAAGACCAGGAGCAAAAGAATGAACAGCACTCGGACATTTATACCCATTAGAATACGAAATATCTGCAGAAATATGCAAGTCAACAATTTCAGGAGGCATGAGATGTCTAGATGAAAACTGTGCACCACTACTAGCAAAAAGTCTAGGGGAAATCCTCTAGTTACATAATCAAGGAGTAGAGTTTGGAAAAACAATAAGGAGCAACGAGACAGGCAGAATACAGAAATGAACATATAACTTTCACCACTTACCAGTGGTGTGTAAGCTTTACTGCGCATGTTGGGGAAAATTCTGGGCCTGTCCTGGTAAGGCCCCAAGGAACCGCTTTCCATGTCATCATCCATCATGATGGAATGGGTTGAATTCACCCTCCGCGCTACAGGATAAGGGTTGTACTCACCTACTTGGGGCAAGTCACCCCCTGAACCTGGTCGCTGAATCTTGAATTGCCTTTATCACACACCGAAGGATTCAAGTTTTTATTGAGGGAACAAAAAGCTGTATTGACAATCCAGGAATTCTTTGCATGCAAGGCCTTCTTTCTTATTCTTCCTCTCAGGTGTTCTCTATTACAGAGTAGTGCAGAGACTAGTCAACAAATTTAAAACACAAAAATTACACAGACACGAGCATGAACAGTGACAACAGCATGCACATTGAACAGCATATGAATGCAACTAAAACCTGTGTAAGATGCAGATCCCTATGCTTTTGGTTTGATTCGATTTAGTATTTGGATTTTAATAATTGGAATTAGCGGAATCGTGTAATAGAGTAATGGATCTGAGATCTAAGCGATTTAAGACAAAACGTGAATTGAAATGGAAATTGTAGTTGGAAGGAAGCAGATCTAATGCTTACGGTTCTTTCTGATGAAGAATCGCAATTCGCCTTTAGCTTCTTCCCATTGTTTTTCTCAGTCTACAGTCACAGCCAGAAAGCCCAAACTCTTTTCTCTTTTCCTTTATTTACTGTGTTTTTTTCTAACAGTGACAGAAAACAAGAGACTGCGTTTTTTTATTTTGCACCCAACCAGCTCCTATTTCATCCTTCATTCTTATATATATATATATATATATATATATATATATATAGTTAAATTCTCATCCAATTAACATATGGTACACTAAACCTGTCAAAGATATCCAATAACGTTACGACATGTCATCTTAACTACATTCTAATTGGCCAGTCACATCACGGCCCTATGCTATAACCACTGATTGTTAGTCTGTAAGTGTGTTTATAATATTTAATGTGATTTTATTAGATGTTGACTTAAGAATGGCTAATAGTTAATAATTTTTATTTAAAATATTATATAAAAGTGATGGTAATATTAGAATTTTTTAACCCGTCTAATATAAAAAATTATATATATTATTAAAAATTACAGTCAAACATTATTTAATGCATTGATAATATTAAATGCTATAATTTTTTATGAAAATTTATTTTATATGATTCTTTTTCTTGTAAAAGGTTGTTAGGTTAGAAAAATTCATAATATTAAATATATAATGTTTTATTTTTATTATTTAACTATTACTTTAAACATGTATTTATTTTAAATTTTATATAATTTTTTAGAGATATATATCATGTTTTTGTATTTTTTTAAAAAAAAAATAAGCATATATTTTAAGTCAAATTTTTAGGCATATTTGATTCTTAAAAATAAGTCATTTTTAAATTTTAATTGACTTTAATCCTCGTGCTGAGAGGTGGCAATATTATATGTTCATAAAAATGTTAAATTTATCACATACCTCAATTAGTAACTTGTATTCTTATTTTTATTTTGTTATTATTTAAATTTTAGAGAATTTTTTAAAATAATATTAAAATTCAATTGAACATTGACTTGGTTCATCTTTGATTTATGAATACTTTGATTTCAAATAGTGGTACTTTATCGTTGATTCTAAATGCAATATATTTTTGGCTCTCTTAAATTTATAGTATTAGCGTATTTTTTATTTCCTCATTCTCTAATCTTAAATGAAGTTTGATCACCTTATTATGTGTAATTTAATATGTCCCATTTATCATAAGACTCTGATTCTTACCTTTGAGTTTTATTTTATTTATTTATTTATTTTTGCATATTTATTAGTAACAAAATAAAAATTGAGGAAAGTATTAAAATATATGAAAAATATATATTTTTTATATCTTAAATTAACTAATAGTATTGTATGATATCTCTTAGAATTAGTTTATTTTTTCTTTTTGCAATATCCTTCTTCATTTCTTATATATTATGCATAATATCAAACATATCAAATCATTTGGTCTCCATTCTTTTCTTTTACCCTACTTGGAGGTTTAACCAAACATTTTCCTTTTGATTCCATATGAATCTTCATGCAATGTAGACATTTATCTGGTGATATGGAAAGCAGCTCTCATGTGATGCCGACATGAATCTCTATAAGGAGATTTGCTAGTTATCTGTAATTATGTGAATTTGCATCCACTTGTATTTTTGCATAAAAATTGAACTATATAATTTGCATATAATTAATGAAAGTAATTATGCGTCCATTCTAGCTGTACTGATTCCATAATTATATATTCTGCTGCTTAGCATCGAGAGTTGAAATGAATGAATTATTGCGGGACATGCATGCATGTTATTGTTGTATGGGGAAAGTTGAGATTGAAATATGTAGACCCAAACAACTAACATGTATGATATGGAGGTAATTGAAGACTAAAGAAAGAAGATCCATTCTGGCAGCACAGCATTTCGTCATTGAAACCGCTGTCTCTTGAAAATCTGAACATTCCCATGTCGATTGCTGGCTTTCCTCAATCTCCAAGGCCTTCCTTTCTTTCTTGCAAGGTGGTGAACACCATGTCCATGGCCTCTCCTTGAACACTCATTTCTTCTCTCTCTCAACGATTTTCTCTTTCTACCAACATGGCTGTTATTGTTACATGAACGATCACTTTCATCACTTGGGCTGTACCCAATTCCAAGCTCAACATCTCGGAATCGCCGCCTTCCACGATAAACCCTCTTGGTGCTTATTAGCTTGTGCCACAAGTAACAGGTGATATCTGCTAGAGCCAACCACCACGCTTCGCAAGTTACCCAACACATCTTGCAAAGGCTTCTTCCTATGCATTGGCAGATACCCAGTTTGAACAATAGGTAGAAGAACAACAAAGCTGAAACATGGGGACATATATGACGGAAAACGTTAACTTACTCAACAAATTCAATGACTTGGTAAGGATAGTAAACAAAGCAAGGTTACAACACATTTATTTCTGCCTATTAGTCATGCCTTAATTAGTTCTTCTTATAACCCAAGATAGAGGCAAATAAAATCACTCTAAGGATGCAAAATTTTTTAAAAAAATCTTACTTATGTAGCAGAGGGCCAAAATCATCAATAGTTTCCCTAGGTTGGAGATACACAAGTGTTCAATGAAACAAATAACGTCCCATGCTCCTGAACATATGTCCCTGCACAAATATCAATGACGAATGGAGAAATTCACACCCATATGTTAGATCATTTGTGCCAAGATGATAATAATTGAAGCAAATCGTTTCCTCCATTTCTTTTTACATGTCTATTTAGGAAGAAAAAAATGCACCTATATATTAATCTTTTTAGAAGTTCAAAATAACATGAATTATAAAAAAAAATTAATTGTAGTTTTATGTTAACCTACTTTTCAATTTCAAGTAACAAATGAGAGAAACCAATTGATAAGCGAGTTAAATAATTATAGAGAGATAAGTATAAGTATAAATTAGACTAAGAGTATAATAAAGAAATATAAAAATAATTTTAAGAAAAAATAAATGTATTAATTATATTTTTGAATTTATATGTAACTAATCTTGCAGATTCAAAGGGAGCATTTACGGTGTTGTCAACTATAATACAGAATATTTCCAACACAAACAGTTATTTGATCGCAAGGAGTACGAGTTCTTCATCTGAATCATCTCAACTCTATGCAATGATTTACGACAACATAAATAAGAAAATGAGTAGGAGCAGTTGTTGCATCTGAGCATAGAATGGAAGCAGTATTTCGTTTGAGTAGGATTAATCATCAGATTCGGATATTTCATGCTCCTTTTGTCAGTGCTATGTAGCAATACTACAATTGGTAAGTATGGCCTGGCATAATCCCAAATTTTATGGAATCAAAATTGCAAAAGCAGAACTTTCCAACTCATTAATAATCAAGTGATCATGGTAACACATTGGCAGAAGATCCATGTTAACAAATATTCTTTTAATAAAATATTGTTTGAAATCTGCTCTAAGAATTGATGTTGACAAAAACCTTAATAAAAATTATGATAATGGCTTAAATACAGCAGAACAACAATGCGAGTTTGGCAACACCTCAATTTAAGGGCAACAAGCCCCCGAACAATATGCATCCATTTAATGGGAAACATGTTCTCTTCTGTTTGGTACCATTGGATGTAAAAAAAAGCACCCTTTCTACTTTTATAAGTATCTTTTTGAGACAGTAGTCTAAGTGCGTTAATAAATAATTATTGAAGCAATAATAATGACGCAGAAACAGAAGGGGCAAAATGACGCAGTGTTCTTACTCGCATGATCCATTAAAAATACTCTTGAACGGAGCCGAAAAAGCATTTCCAATAACACTTCCAAACCCATTTGCTCCTTTACTTATTATAGATCCCATCGCAAATCTTACAAAAGCTTGTGGCAGCAGGTTCAAATCCCATGCAACATGCGCTAAAAATAGGAATTCGAAGAAACATTTGAATACGAACAAATCTTAATCCGTAAATCATAAATGCTCATTTAGAGAAACAAAACAAGAGTAGACAAATATGCAGTGAGCATGACCAGATTCTACTACATTCACACGCAAACTCAATTACTATAACTTGTGCCTCTTATTTTTAACGGCCACCGTTCATTCACTAACCGCAGAGCCTTGGCCCATATTAAAAGCCCAATCTGAGATGACCCACCTCAGCCAGGGCCGGCCCAGGGGCTTATGGCATATTTATTTTAAAATATTGATACATAAATTACTCAAATCTAACTTATTTATATTTTACACAAAAAAATACTACTTTATCTAAATGAGAATAAACAAATATATAATAAAAGTAAGAGTTGCGGTGCGGTAATTTGGTTTTATTTTCGATTTCAGTTATGAAAACTGAATCAAATTAATTTAAGCAATTTTCGCTTTTTTTAATTTAATATTTGGTTTGATTTATGAACATTTCTAGACCTTGCTGATTTGTAGTTTTAAAAGATAAAAAAGCGAATAACAAAGAGATTTTAAATTTAATTGATACTTCACGTGAAAAGTGTTTGAAATCAATTAAATTTAAAGTATTTATAACCTTTTAATTGTCAACAATTACCTGAATAATTAATAACCGCAGTTAAATATCGAAATTACTTTCCAAATTGTAATTCTAACAATTTCCGGATTATTGTGTCTCCATTTGTCTTATTATTATATTTTATACTGACTAACTTATCATTTTAGTCCACTGAATATACATTTAGTAATAATTTAATTTTCTAAAAATGATAATGCGTGTATAAAACAAAGATGCACAATTTCTAACGAGGAATGTAGAAATTGCGTGATTTACATTTTTATTTACAAAATTATGTGTGACTAACCAGTTGCCTCGTCTACGTTACGTACCCAACCTAGCGGGATGAAAATTAAAAAAGATAATAAGAGTATGAGGTGGTGGCAGAGCAAATAAATATGGTTTGATATATCCTATGAAATTTCAGTGGCGGAGGGAGTTACTCGTCGCTGGTCCCTGCAAAACAAATTTAACGTTAGTGCGTGTGTCCGTAGCAATATTGCTGCAGTGTCTGGTCCATTTTATATATTAATTTAACACACTAAAAGTAATACCTTGTTTTTCTTCTTCTGGCGTTGATGGAGTTGATGGGGTTCTGGAGCTTAAAGAATGTTCAGACCTTGGTTCGCTCATCACATCCTGCAAAATTATCTGAACGTGTTTGTTACACTTTCCAATCTAACAAACGCTGAGGTTGATGATTAACTTAATTAGTACCTGTTGAACGGAATCTTGACTGTGAGTGGGGGATGGTGCATTAATGGCATCTCCACCAAAAAAGGAGTGAGTCATATTTTCTTGTGCAAATTCTCTCAAAATGAGGAGCTCCGGCAACACAAGTTTGTCAAGGTCAGGGCGGTCTTTTCGTCTGAGTTCTGCACATTTGAGTGCCAAATTTGCAAGGCAAAGGGCTTCAACATGAGGCCAGTCAGGGACAGATGCGTCAAGGATTTCAGCAAATGTGCCCTTCTCAATAGATTCTCCAACCTGATGAGCCAGCCCCATTGGACGCTTACCAGTCAATAATTGAAGAAGTATGATCCCAAGAGAATAGACATCAGATTTGACGCCAAGTATTCCTGTTTGCTGATATTCAGGATCAATATAACAGAACGTTCCAGCTGCTGAAGTCATGCGGCATTGTGTCACATTTTCAGCCACAGCAGGGAGAAGTCTGGCCAATCCAACATCACTTATCTTACTAACGTAGTTGTGGTCTAGTAATATGTTTCCTGGTTTAAGATCACGGTGCACCAATGGTTCAGGCTTTGTCTGATGGAGGAAGAGTAAGCCCGTGGCTATTTCTGCTGCTATTCGAAACCTCAGCTGCCAACACATTGGACCGTTTTTCTTCTTTCCCAAGAGACAATCTTCTAAGCTTCCGCTGGCCATGTATTCATATATGAGTATGCCACGCTCGGGACAAGCTCCTAGAAGAAGCACCATGTTGGGATGGCGTATGCAGCCCAGAATGTTAACCTGGAGGAGGATTTCAGATAACATGTTTTTGTTTTAGATATTTATGCAGTGAAATACGAAATAGTGATTTAGAATTACTCATTTCCACTGTCACCTCTTGCTGAAACTGTGACTTCCCTTGAGCAGAATCTGGACGCAGAACCTTGACAGCCGCTGGAGTGTGATCCAGGTAACATTTATAGACAGGGCCATAGCCTCCTTCCCCTATTTTCCGGGATTCAGAGAAAAAGTCTGTTGCCTTTTCAATCTCCTCAATTGTGTATCTTCTGTATCTTTTATCAGTTTGGGTTAGACTATCCAATTGTTTCCTCATTTCCTCTGCCTCCTTAAGAGCTTTCAGTTCCACACTTTCTCTTCTATTTGATTCAACCCTTGCAATTTGCTTAGCTGCTTCAGCTGTTTCCCTCGCTGCTTTACTTCTCGCTTTCTCTTGCTCTGCAACTGCCTGTGCCGCTTCCTGGGCCAATCGTGCCTCGTCTAATTTCTTTTCTTCCTCCATTCTCCAGTTGCTCAGTTCCACTAGCTGTACCAAACAGAACAGTATTACCAGCAGAAATCACAATATTATGTGGATGCATTTGATTTTACCTTCTGTTGTGCTGTTAGCGCTTCTCTGCACGCAGTACTGTACATTTCCATTGTTTGCTTTAATTCGAGCTTCAACTTCCTCATATCAGATTCCACTTCATCCTGAATGTTTTAGCATAAGCTTGGGGAGGCATTAATGAAAAGTTAATAGTGAAGAAAAAGAATGAAGTGGTTACCATGTTGTGTACGGAACATGAAAAAGATGTTCGGGAGCTATCCATCGAAAAGGAATCATCTGGAGAAATGGGGTCAGTGAGCTTGAGTCCCAACCGGGATCCCAAGCTACGATCTGAACTGGTTGAAGTTCGTGAATTTCGAGCAGAGTCCATATAGTCGCAGAAAACAGAGGATGAACGGGCACTGCTGGTGCTTGGCCTCCCCGAGCTCACAAATGATATGTCTGTGTCAGATTCAGCGAAATCCATGCAAGATCTTCTACTGAAGCTTACTCTTCTGCCAAATTGTCACTTGCTCGTTAATTTGTGTGTGTCATATAAAAATGAAATAAAAATGATAAAACTTACTTCATTGATTGATTTGATTCACCCTGCCAGCTGGAAGCTTTGCTTGCTGCCCTGCTGTCTGCAGCCAGCATGCATAATTATCAATGTAACGATGGATCAAAACATAAGTATATAAATGATCGATTTAATTAAAAATGCAAGCAAAAGCATAGTTTAGGAAAAAGGAAAAAACAAACCCCTGAAGGTCATGCGTCTAGACATCACATCCCCAGATTTAATTGAATTATCATTATTTAGGGTTTGTATGTCGTTGAGCAGTGGGGAGGCATGTGGGGCTGGACGAGTGGCTTTCCGAACTGAAGACACTTTGCCCTTTGAAATGACATACACTGTGCAGAAATCTGGCACCCCCTTCAATATGCTGCTTGGGGTGCTTGACTTGAATCTGCATGCAGTTCAATTTCAACAAATTAAGATGCAATTGGACTAATCATTTTGGTGGTGGTTGGTGCATTATTACCTAATAAAGCCATGCCTGGACGCTGCACCCAGCACCAAGGTCTCAATTGCAGCACTGGAGACATATTCTGTTATTCCTTTGATCACATCGGTGTCTTCAAGTAGGACATCGAGGCAATGTATCTGATGAAAATAATAAGTGTAATCGACATAACATAACGGTGGAGGATTGAATGAAACATACATACATACATCTTTGCGTGAACAATAGCAATGGAAGGTACGGAACAAATCCTTGCAAATATTGGAAACTCGTTCTCCATGGGGAGATGCAGCCAGGCTTGTGCTGTTGCATACTATGGCATGGTTGCCACCTACTGCATAGATTTGTATGGTTTCAATTTTGAATGTTTGATTATGCAATATTCATATAACATAATTTAAGAGGGAGTTACCTGAAGTAGAATGCAAAACGTGGATTAGAACAAGAGTTTGGCCTCTGGAAAGAAGAGTATCCGCAGCCCATTTGAGAGCGTGGCGACTCCCTTTACTATCCTTGTCAATAGCAACTGCAATCAATCCATTTCCCCCCTTTCTGATTGTTGTTGCCTTCGTATTTGGAAACCACATTTACTTTGCTTTTCTCTCCCCTTGTCAACCTCAATTCTGCAACTTAATTCGATTTTACTTTTCATCCGCATTCTTATTCTGCCACCCACTTTCTCTATTCAAATTCCCATGCTTTTACTTTAACTAATAAAAATCAAAATATGCGTGACACACCCCAAACTGCAAAACCATTTATAGAAATCTACCCCCAATTTAAGCCTAATCAACCAAAACTTTCTTCTCCTCCTGTTATAGCCCGACTCAAAAGGAAAGGATCACAACATCAATCAAACAGAATCGACTCTCCACAATATCTCAGTTGCACATACGCTTCCATCACACACCTTGAATTATTACGGATCAATTTTTTTATTTCAACTTCAAACAATTATTTTTTAACTTCATTTTACATATATTATTTGGGTCATTCTAAAATTTCTTTTTTATTTATATAAATTTCCTTAATTACTAAAAATAATATTTCTTTTTCATCTCTTCCTCCAACTTCTAGCGATTAATGTTGTACTTCATGAGATACCATTAAAAATACTATATCCTTGATGTTTTCATACAAACTCTAGATTATATGGTTAACATTTTTTGTATATATGTGATATTATAACCATGTCAACTCAAACTTTATTATATGAGAAAAATTAAGTGTTAGGTAAGTAGATACTAGATAAAGGTAAAAAAGATGACTATTGTAATGAAAATAATAGTAGCATAAACAAAGATGATAACATCAATATTAATGGTGGAGATAATGACAGTAGAAGTAGTGACAACAATATTTGTTTTAAATAGCAATAATAATACTTGTTTCACATACCAATAATAATAGTAACTATAGTGATAGAAACAATGCTGATTTCAATAATTATTGTAATAAGAAAGATAACATTAATTATAATGGCATTAAGTGTTGATAATATCAATAATAATTCAAGATGTTTTCAAACAAACTTTTAGATTATAAGGTTAAAAATTTTTAAAATTGAAATTTCAAAATAAAATTGGAATCGATTAAGATTACAATAATGTCAAAATATATTTTACCAAACCAGTAGTTTATTTAATATACTGCATAAAAAATCTTTAAAAAAAATTAAAACAAATATTTATATTTAATTTTGAGTGAAATTATAAATAAAAAAATTAATATAGAAAAAACTGTGGTTCATGAATTTCATTACAATTTATAAAATTATTGAATATCTTAGACACGCTGGTTCGGTTCATTTTCTAGTTTTTATATATATTTGACGACCTCTCCACGATGTGCATGATACAAAGCCAAAAAAGAGAAAAATGGTTACAACAAAATGATGTAATGCTCAAATGACCAATTTTTTGTCGTTATATGCGTTACCTATATGTCAATTTTCTAGATTATGCATCAAACTATTTCCTTTTTCTTATGTTACAGCATTTCCTTTCCGATTATACATGGATAACGTTTACGTATGTCCAAGTGCCTATTAGCTTTCTCTTACATCTATGTTTAAAAGTTTTCTTTGTTGACACTTTGACTTAGAAAGTGTCAAAATAAAAAATCTTTCACTATCACTTTGATGTTCCCTCCAGAAAGAGTTTAATTGTAATTAATTAATATAAAAAAATTATATGGTTAATTAATTAAAATATATGATAGATATAATTTTTAAATTAATTATTATAAAATTTAATAATCTTTACTGAAATAATTATTTGTATTTAGATGATAATTAATTCATTTTAATTAAACTATTTATTCAATTTATATATATATAGTAAAATTAATTATTTTATTTGACGGTTAAGATGAGATAGAATAAATAATTTCTATTTTTTATAATCTATTATTTAAAAAGTTAATAAGATAAAAGAAAAGAAAATGATAAGATAAGCGTTTTTTTCTCCTTTGACTCTCAACTTCATCAACACTTGATACCATTATGATTGATGTTGTCTTTATTATCACAATGGCCCCTTGAATGATACTAAAATAATGGAAAAGAAGAGGTGGAACGAACTAATTAGAGGAGACAATATTATAATTTAAAAAAAAAAAAAAAACTTAAATACTCTACCTATACCTGAATGATGCTATCCTTACAACAAACGTTACATATTTTTTTCTCCGTTGTTTGGTTACTCTCATCCCATTTGGAGTTAGATGTCCCTTTTAGAAGAAAGTAAAACATTGAAGAACATCTATACATAAATAAGCCAACATGAAAATGTACCAATATATATATATAGGAAATAAACATATAGAATAGGAGAAAACTGATTAGGCTCGATTGCACAACTTGCTTGATTTTATTTGCCTGATTCTTTATTGATATGGCTTAGACATTTTATGGTCACAGCTTTTCAGGTTAAACCGCAGTGGAAGGCAACGGAACCCGCCTACGATATTCAGCTAGAGCCCACATTGGATAAATATCTCTATACATTGGGTAATGCAACATGCAATTTTTCATGAATACTCCTGTGATTTCCTGCCAGAAATAAGTCACAGACAACAATCAGAAATAGAACTCAATTAGGAGCTTCATTTGTCATATTAAAATTGTATCACCCTTGCTAACCTGCTTTTAAGACACTGATTAATAAGTTGAAAGGATTTTTTTCAATTAAAATTTACATTATACTGTACTAAAAAATGAAAAATGTTAACCTTAATCTTATTTATTATTAACTTTAATTCAGTAAATATGCTTTTTTTTTCAATAAAACATATTTTTGAATGCTTTTGTTTTGTATTACATAGGATAAATTTCAAATACACAATTCAAAAAGAAAGGATTGGTATGCACCTGCTGGGGCCAATCGCCCTCTTCCAACTGAGAATTGATGAGCAATTTTGCAGCACGGTGAAGAGGAGTAGGGTCTCTCTCCGCCTGTACATAGGAATTTGAAAATGAAGGGGAAAAAATAAGCATTTTGGAATTTAATTCACGATGAAGTAGACCTATGAATTATAATCACACACGCAAATCAAAACCAACCTGGCCAGCATGAATTAGACCCATAAGAGCCCATGCGGTGTGTACAACATTTGATCGGGTTCCTTCAAGAGGTACGTATATCTGCATTTGTTTTCATTTAGTAAGACATCATCATCATCATGATTATTATTTGGTGGACAAGTTGAAGAAAAAGTATACGAACCTTTTTGGGGCTTGAAAGATAACTCTCCCCCCACCCACCATCCTCTCTCTGTGAGGTAAGTAGAAATTTAACAGCTTTGCGAATGGCAGCACAATTGGTGTAAGTCTTGCCAGCAGCTGCTAGACCGCCAAGTGCAAACCAAGAGCCATATGTGAAGCAAACTCCCCAATTTCCATACCATGAACCATCAGCTGTTTGTGTGTCTTCAAGGAATCTAACCGCGTTTGCAATAAAATTCTCTATCTCTTTCTTCCTATGCCCTGGATATAGCTTCTTGAACAAAACTAATGCTTGAATTGCCGATCCAGTGCACTCAACATATTCATGCTCAACTACAATGTCCGCAAAAAATTCTGTTGGATTCAGTAGCTGAAAATCAATAACAAATCCATTAGTTATGATTTTTATCAATTAATGACTACGAATATATCGCCTTATTAATTAATATGACACTTACTTCCAACCATTCTTGAGCTTCAGGTGGTTCCCACGCTGCTAAACCACCCTTTTTACTCTGCAGCGATAAAAATTAAAAATTGAAGTTGTGTCAGGAGAAGGGCCATTGATTGATTAATTAAATAATTAATTAAAAGTATATAGCCGTGAATTTAAGTGAACTGCAACATAGTACGAAACAAACAATGTGTCGCATTGGATTTGAAGAAGGGAATCATTAATTTCCCCAAGTTTGATGGTACTTGCCTGAAGCGACAACAGGACATTGACTGCATCAAATAACCTTTCAGGTTCCATCTTTTCTCCCACAATCTCCGGTGGCATTGTTGATAAAATTAGACAACACTAAAACACGGGAACTTTAGCTAAATTAACATATATTTGTTGTGATTGATAAGCTTATTAACAAATTAAGTTACTCATGACCTAAGTTGTTAGTACCTTCAAACCTTCTGCAGTGCAGTCAGAAACCTGCCATCCATGGTCTTGATCTGAGAATGTCCAGGACCCTTTCGAAATATGACGATACATGCTCTTGAAATCTCCTGAGGGGTTGTCCCTAACCTGTGAAATGATAGTGTTAGTTCATTACTACTAGATAATGTCAGAAAACATATTATTCAATATTCTAATGCACACTAACTTACCAGTCAATTATAAATATGTATCTCAATTAGAATAATATAATTATGTAAGTTTGAAATTAATAATATTTAGCTAGGTAAATTAGGTAGTAAGTAGTCAGTTATTTAGTTTCATTTAGTTAGTTAAATAACACAGTAAATAATATCTAGAGATCTTAAATATCACTAGTGAATTGTAACTTTGGATGAACTAAGTTCACCGAGGAATTTATCCTCCTTAACGAGAAGGAAGGAGATTTGCATTCTTCATATACTTATCATAAAAATTAAGTAAACCTGAGATTTCTTGATGAAATCGTGCCCTTTTGCTAGTGCGGGACCAATTTCCTCCACAAAGTTAGTAGCAAGCAAAGCTTGAACAGCAAAGCCAGCATCCCATTCTTGGCTACCAAAACTCTGCATTACATAGACAAATGCATTAATTAATTAATGATACCGTTAGTTATTATAATAATTAATTTGCATAAAAATATAATGATGTGATACACACACACACACACACCTGCATGGTCATTCCATCTTCTGAAACCCATAAGTAATCTGGGACCCTTGCAAGATGCTTCTTGAAAGCATCTCCGTTTGGATCTTCCACCCAACAAGCAAGCATGCATAAAACCTAAAGATATATATATATATATATATGTTAGGGCATATTTGAATAATGAACTTCCTTTTGAAGAGGAAAATGAAAGCTAATTTTACTCTTGTGACTAAATAATCAACGTGCTTATTCATTGTTATTTATACCTTTTCTACACACCC